CGGTGCCCAGTACCTTCGCTGAGGCGGTGGCGCAGGCCAGAGCAACGTCAAGTGGTTTAATCGCACTGCGGCGACAGAAACAGCAGCGTGGAGACTACCCGAATTCTTCGCAACTTGGATTTCAGCACTCATCTGGCGCGGGATTCTCAGGTCATGATAGCAGAGGAAAGAATACCTTTACGAGCATTCACATCCGCATCACAGGACTACGCTTTGTGCTGATGACGGAGCCCGCCTCGACGGTAACCCTCTCACTTTTTCTGGACGAGCGGGGTGGCAGTCTGGACTTCTTCGTGAAGCTAGTTTTAGGACAGTCACCGGGGCCTTTTCAAGGCACGAATGCATTTGTGCCGGGGCCGGTTTTATTCACAATTTGCGCTCGAAAGATGCAGCTGGAATGCCAAGCGAAGCTGGAAGTGAAGTCATTTGAGATGTTTTTGCCAGAGGCAGTGACGTGTGTTGCGTTGCGACGCCGCAAGCACGTGTGGGAACTTACAAACGTGTACATTCATACACCGCCTGATGTCTCGGGAGGTGTTGATTTGGAGGTTACGTTGCGAGCGCCGCATTTGTCGCAGCTTTTCATTGTGCAGGAGCTCTGGCACAAGGCGCTGCTTGACTCGCTGCAGAGCATTCGTCAGATGTTTACTCGCAGTGCAAGCATAATAAAAGAAAATGTGCAGAGGAGTTTCGTTATTCGCCGTGGTCTAGAAGCGATGCGTAAGGGCCAGGTGGAGGAGGTACTGGTCGTTGTCGTCACGGCATCGCACATTAAGTTGCGACTTGATCTCAGCTCTGGTAACGCGCAACAGGCAACCTTGGGTGGCGTTAGTCTCATTCTGCTGAGGACTCGATCTCCCGCGCGTGTGTGTTACAAGACGTGCTTTGATTTGGCGGTACGGTCTTTTATACTGCGTTCTGAGGGTGTTCTTTCCGGTGTGGCCAACCTTGACAGCGTGCTTATTAAAGCATTCCTTATTGAAAATGCAGATAACGCGAAAAATTTGATTTGTTCACCGACAGGACGCACTTTCCGCGAGTTGTTGTGCGTGCAGAAACTACACGCGATGTTTAAGGAGCGGCAGTTGAAGGATGTGTTTGAGTGCCAGGCAACAGAGATTTCCCTTGGTTGCATGGACGGAGTGGGTGAGGAGGAACGCAGGACAGTGGAGGCGGAGTTATCGCTGTATAGAAGCAGTGTGTTTGTGACACCAAGTACCGTGCTGGCGATATTTAACGCCCTTAACAGCGTGGGTGAGGTCGTGTCGATGCAGAGGGAGGTGTCGCTGTTGCGATTGCGGGATGGTGGCATAAAAACGTCTCGCGCATCGTTCACGAGGAAGGTGAAAGAGGCTTTTTACGGTATTGAGTGGGTGCTGGATCGACACAAGGCAAGTGGCAGGAGTAAACGCATCTTGTCATCATCAGACAGTAATTTTCTGAGTAGCGGTGATAACAATAACAATAGAAAAGGCAGCACCAGCATCCAGGAGATCAAAGGAGGTGACAAACCCAGCGTTGCCAGTGACAAGGCGGAGAAAAGTCTTATTATCCCCTTTATGGGAAACCCGCTCACACGCATTCCGTGTGGCAAACTCACCATGAAGCTGGAGCAGACAACTTTGCTGCTTGGTACCGCCTCGGCTGGGGCAACGAGTTCTGGGAGCCTCATTGCGAGCTTCCCTAAGGCGAGGCTGTCTTTTGCGGAGTGCCCCGGTGACGGAAACACGACGGTAAAGAAGGTGCTTGAGATCAATACGGAGAACGTGGAGCTCTTTCGTCCTGGCGCCGTCAAAGTAGTCATTCTCGGGTTTCGTGGTACCAACAATTTTGAGTTCTACTCCCGGCAGGGGATTGGGGATGCTGAGGTTGGCTTCACGTTGACGCTGCTCCAGTCCAACCCGTGGACGGGAAACCCGCGCTTTCAGGACTTTCAGGAGTTGATTCAACTTGTGCGCTCCTTCACCGCGAAGGATAACGCGGAGGTGTTCCATCGGTTTGGCAGGATTGACCAGGAGTTCCCTGGGGAGTCATCGGAAACAAAGTCATCCTCTAATGCCAACTCCAGTGGAGATGCCACTTCTGCAGCGGCCGGTGCCGTTTCTGCTCCCACCGCGGAGGAGACGGTTCAGCAGAACGCCGAGAAAAGGTCCAGGGACGATCGATACCTGAGGGCTCTTCGACATGTAAAATTTTCTCCACAACTACGCTTTGGTGGTGATGTGGCTGTGAATGTGGATGTGATTCTTAATTGGCTTGGCGTATCGGAGAAGATGTTGCCACAAATTTTACACATGCAGGCATGCGACGGACTGGAGGGTCTTTTAAATCGACTTTCGGAGGGGATGAGTAAGCGTTTGATAAAAAAGAGGGTGAACGACTGAACGGTACCTGATTTTTATTGTATGATTGTTGTCGTAGGAAGAGGAGGAGAATTAGCAATAAATTACAGTGAAAGTTGGAGGGGAGGGATGATGTTGATCTTGTGTGTGTGTGTGTTTGTCGCCTATGAGAAGGAGGAACTTTCGTCAAGCAGACTTAATGTATTAAAATCCTCGGAAAATACTTACGAGGAAAAAGGAAAAGGGAAACGCTAGAATGAAATACAATGGGGTATTACCCCCTTATATATATATATATATATATATATATATATTGCTTTGATGAGTGTAAAAATATATTTTTTTTTTTTTTGTGAGTGGCTATATATAATATATGTTCTTTCCCATCCTTTTTTCTAGTTATTTATTTATGTGAGTATTTATTTATTTATTTATTTATTTATTTTATTATTATTATTTTTTATTTGTGCGTGACAGAGAACAATTTTATTTCTTGGCATCATTATTACCCCTGCAGAACAACGCTTCAAGATGGGAAAAGTGGTCAGAAACGTGAAGTAATATTTTTTCATCTCAGTAGCGTTGTAGATTCAAACCTCAGCATTCTCAGTTCCCATTTATCACTCCGCATCTCTCTCTTTTTTTTTTTTTTTTTTTTCTGTGTATTTATGTGTTCTATCTTTTTTCCAATTTACTGTGAATAATTTTTTTTCCTTTCTCTCTTTCTCTCTCTCTCTTTGTGTGTGTGTCTCTCTGTGGATGGATGGATGGATGGATGGTGATGGATGATACATGCGAAAAGAAAATTGATGTCGACGGATGACGCACACGACGCATTGGCTCTGCTTGAGGCGAATTCGAAGTCGCATCCCGCGAATGAGCGAGAGGATGATGAGGAAATAGGAATTGTGAGGGTGGAAGAGTTACAACAGGAGCACGAGGAAGAGGCAGAGGAGGTGCTGGTGTTGGAAGAAGAAGAAGAAGAAGAGGCGGAGGAGAAGGAACAGCAGCAGCAATTGACCCCGTGGGATCGTCTTTACGAAGAGGGTTTGAAACGTGAGGCACGACGACTGGAAGTGTTTGAAAAGGCCACGGCAGACCGAGTGGCAAGAGCCCTGTTTGATCAGCAGTGCAACACGGCGGGCAGGAGCAATACACAAAGCTGGAATAAAGATTTTGCTGATCGACAGCAGAGATGGCTGGACACGAAGGAGGAACGTGTCCGACGGCTACGGGAGGAGGCGGAGATAGCCGAGCTACGAAAGCTGCAGCCGCCTGCGATCAACGAAGCTTCCCAGCAAATGGCGGAGAAGGCGGGGTACGAGGGCCCGATACGTGGGTGGGAGTCGCATTTTGCTCGATATGCTCTTCGATTTGCCGAGAATTCGTTTGTTCCAACGCATATGTTTCGTCCCAACATTAACATAAACGCCCACCATTCCGAGGAGACGGTGAGAAACATCGGGGAGCGCCTGTACAAGGAGGACGTACAGAGGCGACAAGGACGACTGCGTGAGCTGACGATGAAGTACCAACGGAGTGAACTTATTGACGGTTGCACGGGAAAGCCGTACTTTACGCCGTGTATTTCTTTGAAGACGGAGATGGCGAGGAAAAGGCGGAGTGAGCAGAGGACTCGCAGTGCTGCCAGGGCCACAGAGATGCTATATATAAAAGCACGGGAGCGGTATAACAAAGTAGCGGAGCCCCCGGTGGATTCAAACTCCTTCACGCCAGAAATATGTCGACTTTCTCGTAAAATGGCCGAAAGGCGAAAAGCACGCAGTGAGAAACGGCCGGATGTTGTACCAAAAACTTTGACACCACCTGAGAAAAAGTCTAAACTGAAATTAGGAGAGTTTCTTTCACGAGAGGAGGCCTGCCTAGCGAGGCGAAGACAGAAGATGGAAAGGGTGGAGCGTCAGCTTTTGGAAAGGCAAGAAGAGGAATGCACGTTTATTCCCCGCATTAACAAGCGAAGCGTGGAGATATTTGAGGGGTTTCAGCAACGCCACAGCAGTTCTTCGCCCCCAATGGAGATGACACACCCGGGCGTCATTCAACAGACACCTCCAACTGAAGGGGCAGAGATGTATGAAGGGGACCATTTTATAAGTGATGCCATTTCGCCTCTTCTTTACGAAAGCAGCGCCGCATCCACGTCCCCTCTGATTCGTATCGACAACGACGGATCCCGGCTTATAAATGAGTTTGAACACAAAATGAACGAGCTCTTAAACGAGTGGCGAAGTATTGGGCGTGTGTAACGATATTTATTTATTCTTTTTTTTTTTTTTCTTCGTTTTGGATTTTGATTTCTGAAAAAAAAAAAAAGAAAAAAAAAAAAAAGAGAGAGAGAGAGGAGGGGAAAGTTAGAAACAATAATAATAATAATAATGGTACCGACAACAACAACAACAACAACAAACTACCTTTTCCTTTTTTTACTCCCTTCCTTCCTGTAAGTGGGTGTACGAAATTGAATTTTCTGCACTGACATTTATTTATTTATTTTTGTATTCCTTTTTTTGTTTTATTGTGTGTGTGTGTGTGTGTGTGTGTGTTTAATACTGTCTATCGATATGAAACCGTACAGTGCAAATATTTTTTCATTGAGTTTGCTCCTGCGAGTTATTGCGGTTGCTGTGCCTTATATGTATGTATACATGTGTTTGTTTTGACTGTCTTTTATTATTTTGCGATGTGAAGCGAAATAAGTGGAATAAAGGGGCATTGGGAATGCGGTGTTTTTCCCGTTGCCATGCGCATTGGATGCACACCGCCGTAACGGTTCCAGTGCGCATGCTGAAGCGCAAATTAAGTCCTGACCGCACACGCGATGAAGAGATTCAGGACCGCCAAAATGCATTTGTGTGGTCTGAGAAACATATTTATCGTCCCCACCAACACTTCACGTTTGACCCGTGTAGCTGGAGCCGTCCGTTGGAAGAAAAGGTGAAGGCAAAGAGGCAGCTTTCACTCGTAGACCGACTGCGTGTATTGGAAGAGCGGGAGAGAGAGGCAACATGTGTTGTGGAGGAAGTAAAAGACACGAATGAATGTAAAGAGGTTGTGAATTACTTTTACTCTATTGAGAAAAAAGAAGAAAAGGCGACTTCTTTGCAAGAGGAGTTGGAACGTTTGAATGCGTTGCATGTTCTTCTCACAGCCCCACGACACATGGACACATCTTTGGCAAAGGCAGAACGACTGCGAGAGGAATACAGGGACATGTTGCAGTGCGTGTTTGAACGTCTCCGTGTAGCCGTTGTGGACGAGACAATGACATTTGACGCATTGCTGTATTCCTGGTTTTTGCTGCTTCAGGGAGCCCAACCGCTTTTAGAGGCGCTGACGGAGAGACGGAAATTTGATGAGAACACTCTTCATTGCGTCATTGTCACCGTGCGCGATGCGCTTGAGACGCTCATGTTGCACGCCGCAAAGGAAATGGATACGACGGGTAAAGAGGAGTTGCTTCTGGAAGGGTTGGTGGAGCTGTTGGATGTGGCCACACATCCCTTTACCCGGCAGGGTGCAAAGTTGCGGGAGAATAAACGGCAATCTTGTCATGCTTCCGAAGAGAATACAGAAGTGCTTGTGAAAGGGTTAATTTTGCGAACCATGACTGCACTGAAGGAGCGTATGATAACCGATGATGGTGCTGAATTGCTTGACGCGCAGCATCTCCACGCACTGTTGCGCAGCATGGCACGTTGTCCCGACTCGGTGAACGAGTCACATCTTCAGCGTGCGGCGCTGCTGACAAGAAAGGTAGTGGAGGGAATTCTTGCAACACTCAAAGGAGTTGTCGCACCCTCGATTAGGCACTCAATGTGCCTCTCCCTCTTGGGAAAAGCAGCGCGGCGTCTCGTCTTTGATAAAAATGAGTTGATGAGAAGAAGAGACATGTCCTGCCAATTGGTGTTGGATGCATGCGACCCTCCAAGCGGCGTGAAGAAACCTACTATTGCCGCGGATGAGGTGTCGCATGTCACGTGTGCCTGTGTGTCTTTGCTGCGACAGGCAACGCGTGCCTCGCATGTCACTCGGGCAAAGGTGTTGGAGGCCATTGATTTCCACTTGGTGATGCTGTCACATGCTCCAAACTACGACCTTGGCATAACTGACACCGTCACTTTTGTATGCGAACTTCTGGAAGGTGGGGTGTTGGACGTTGGCACAGGGGCGGCGGAGCGATATCTTCGTGTGGTTCTTTTGCTTTCACGTCTGCAGTTTTCTCCGTGCGACAATCAAGACGTTTTATGTCGTTTGTTTTTCTTTTTTTGTAGCCTTGCTCCACATGAGTCGCTTTCTGAGTCGACTTTGCGGGAGTGGAAACGGCTTTATGGGATAGTCATGCATCAACTGCTCTCTTCTGTGCGTGCGGTTGCGTTGGGAAAGAATTACGTTTGTGGGAGTGACAGACCGGGTACTTGGGAAGAGCTTTTGGCATTTGGACGGTATCATGGCGCTTTGCCACTTTCACTGTGGTACGATGCCTGCCAAATTTACTTTGACAAAGCCACCGTCCCGTTGTCGTCAAAATGTGCCCGTGCGTTACTTTCACTACGAACTCGTTGTAGGTCTCATATTGGCGGTGTTTCTACTGGAAAGAACAAGCCTTCTTCCCTGTGTGCATCTCCGCTGGACTTTGATTCGGTACGGCTGCTCGCACGAATGTTACACGTTATATTGGGCGAAGGCGTAGCTGCAGAAGACCTGATGAATGAAGCTGCCGCGTGGGATGTGGCACAGAGTGCTGCGGGGAACGACGAGGCGCTTTCTGCGTTGTTACGTGGAGCACAAAAGTGTGTGCAGGAACGACAGGCGAGTAAACATGTCGTGATGACGTTCTTGTGAGGCTCACAATCACATATATTTATATATTTATTTATATATTTGTTGTTGTTGTTGTCGTCGTCGTTTGGCTGTTTTTAATTGCGAGGGTCGTGGATGCTGCATTCTTTGCCTTTTTTGAATTTTATTTTATTTTACTGTATTCTTTTTTTTTTTTTTCTTTTTCTCTCTCTCTCTCTATATATGTATATATATATTTTTTAGGAAGAAGGAAAAAGAGCATAACAGCAATAAATAAACAAAAAATAAAAGCAAAAGATGCCTGCGGAGGTTATTTTCATGTTTGATGTCGCCGGCGTTCTTACGACGTCGCCGTATCCCGCAACGCGGCGCCTTGCAGAGACGTTGATGCGTTGTGTATTTGAGCGTGCGAGGGCGCATTTTATGTCGCTTGTGGGGGATGAATCCCCTGCACTGCTGGCGCAAAACTACTCGAATCTTTTCTCTCTCATCCACAGCTTCACAGAGAAGGTGCGGGGGATCCGGTGTGCCTTTGAGCGACTGGAATTGGGGGAAATTAACCGCAATGAGTTTGTCCCGTTATATCACGCGGAAATGGACGTCATGTTGACTGCACTCGTCAAGAAAAACAAGGAGGAACTGGAATTTATGCACATTGCCCATCCCGCGCGGGTTGCCTCTATAAAGGAACGTTATCCGCTGCTGGCTGTCCCAGTGGTTCAGGAGTTGCTACGGGAGCTCATGGATCCCGAGGCGTATTTGTGCACAATGGAGAAGGTGACGCCCCGACGCAATGTGTTGAACCTTCTTCACTACTTACGCATGAAAAGCCAACAGGAGATTCGCCTGGTGGTGGTGACAAACACGTGGGAGGTGGAGGGGCAGTACGCACGGATGAGTAAGGCGCTCTCCAACAACATGAGTGAAACAAAATGGTCTAATTTTCCCACGGCGTGCCCCATCGACTACGGCGATGCTGGCGGCCGATCTTCTTTTGTCATCAATAGCTTGTTTGATTCCTTTGTGCAGAGTTACACGTTCCACAAGCGTAAACCATTTCCCGATATTTTTCATCATGCTATTGAAGAGGCAAAGAAAACCCGCGTGACGTCTCAAGATTCCCTCATGTATGGTGTGAAGCCTCACATCTTTTTGTTTGACGACGTCCTTGAGAACTGTGAGACCGCCCGCAATCTATCGGACAGTCCCTTTGATAAGGTGTACTACATTGAAAACGGGGCGTATGACGTGTATGAGGATGTGCTGAGTGCATTGAATACGGTGGGGGCCGCAGATCCCTTTTGGGCAGACGTTGCGGCGGGGGTAAAAAAAGAAATCTCGCCTTTTTTTAAACCACCAATTGACGCAAACGGAAAACCGACTTCATGGATCAACGAGGAGATGCATGACTACAACTCTAACCTCCTGATTTTACCACCACCACCCTGTGAGGCCTGTGAGCCACGTGGATTCTTTGAACCCAAGAAGTTTCTTGACGAGGATGATAAGGATGCCATTCTCTTTTACTGCGCACAAAATTTGCCACACTTATTTCCTATTGAGATTCCTAGTCGGCACTCGCAGAACCTGCAACTGGCTCGCAAGCCTGGATTTGCGACATCGTCTGGCCCCATTGTTTTTGAACCCATGCGGGGAATTGGATTTTTCAAGACGTACCGCATCACCCTTCGCACTGGTAGCTACGTTCTGCGTCTTCAGCCCCATGGCCCCGTGCCGCATGGAACTCTTGACATCCGTACGGAGTATGAGATGATGCGGTATCTCGGTCAGAATTCTACCGTACCGATAGCAAAATGTCTTCTTTATTGTGAATCGTACGCAGCCTGTGGTTATCGGTTTTCACTACGTCGCTTTGTTGAGGGTGAGGTCATTGCAGACATGAGAAAACTTATTCAACCCCGAATCCAGCGGCCGTATTCCGTGCGGCGTCGACACATCCATGTGGAACTTGACCCGTATTTTTTTTTTAAGAAGGCGGTGGAGACGTTATCTCAAATTCATGATGTGCCGCCTCCACGTTTTCTGTCACGGACACGAATGGAACGAAACCCCAATGGGACTGCCGTTATTTCAGTGGGCAACGCAGTCCACCCGCTACTTGAGATGATAAACAATTTGATAGTGCGGTATAAAGCAGTGGTGAACACCGCGAAGCTACCAGATGGATCATATTTATTCCAGTTCAAGACACTGGAGCGGTTATCACAGGCGTTAATTGAGCGCTTTGACGCAACGCGGCTTGGAGTGCAATCTATTCCTTTTCCGGAGCAGCTCGTGATGATTCATGGGGACTATAAATTACGGGATCTTCTTTTTTCATACCGCTCTTTTGAAGGTCGGCACAAATACCCCGCAAATATTATTGGGGTGATGAATTTTACTTCTGTCAGTACAGGTGATCCATTGGTGGATGTTGCTAGTTTGGCTCTTGTGGCACTGCTGCCGCGTCCATTTGGCATTTATGACATGCCAATGGAGATGCAATTACTTTTTCCCACACCACAGTGGATATTAGAGAGGTACTGCGACAGTCGCGGATATATGCGGACGATGACAGGGAAAAAGCGGGAAGCCATATTTAAAGTGTACCTTTCCGCTGCCTGCCTCCGCTACGCTGTTAAAACGTTGTCTGATCTTGCGGAGGTGTTTGAAGTTTTTAATTCCCTTCCACTAGAGGAGGCACGAAAGTTATCTCTTGTCGAGCATGCCTTGCAACAAGGGCTTGCTTTGATGGGAAAACTTCCTTCTCGACTGTGATAGGTGGTGGGGTGCAGTAGTTATAAAAGGAATAAATACTTTGTAATAGCAAACCCGTACTTGGCTTTTTTTTTTGTTTTTTTTTTTGTTTTTTTTTATTGTTAAATTTTCTTTTTTATGTTTACACATGTACCCCTTTGAAACATTTCGTGTTCTTTTTAATTGTTGTACGTTTGTGCGTCTTTGCCGCCATGCACTGAGAAGAAACGAGAAGGACGAGACATGCATACGTACATACATATATATATATATAATATAATACATACATACATGCATACATATGCAAGTGAGCGTACAGTGAGCCTATTTTATTTTAATTTTTATTTATTTTATTATCTTTGATGTTGTCGTAAACGTAACAGTGAAGTATACATCGAAGAGTATAAAACAACAACAACATGAAAAAAAGAAAAAAAAAGAGGAGTTGGTACGGTGAATATTTTAAGAGGGAAACGCAGCGAGAATATATAGGTAGCAATGCAATGCAACAAACAAAAACTAAAAGAAGAAGAGGAGGAGGAGGCGGAGGAGGTGCAAAGATATATATTTTTATAATGCGGCAACACATGCCCTTTTGAATATATATTTATATTTATATTGATATATTTACGCATATAAATATGTTTTTTTTTTTTTTTTGTGTGTGTGTGTGTGTATGTGACGACTGTGGGCAAATAAATTGTGACCACCCCATTAGAGGAGGCGTGGGTAAAAGAAAAAAAGAAAAAACAAACAAAAAAAACAGAAAACGTGGAGATGTGAAGAGGAGGAGGGGCGCGTGGAGCGAAAGAAATAAACAAACGAACGAAGATTGCAAAAACAGAGAATTCATCTCAAAAGACTCTCCGCCCTCCTCAGGCTGAAAACGAAAGGGGGACGGGTTGCGGGAAAGTGGTTTCATCCAAATAATTTTAGTGAATGGATGTTATTTGGGCTTTTTTGCTTGTTTTCTTCTTCCCCCTCCTCCTCCTCCACTATTATCATCGTTGCTTTCGGTTGTGGAGGGAAATCAATTGAATTATTATTATTATTATTATTTTGTTTGTTCTTTGCATTGATCTTCTTTTCATTTTCATTTTTTTTTTTTTTTAATTATTATTATTAATTGTTTTTTTCTATAGTTACTTTTCACAGGTGTATTTATTTATTTATTTATTTTATTTATTATATATTTAGAACTGCAGGTGACAAGATGACATGTGTGTGGCGAAGTGATGTCGACACATGCGACTTTCCTTTTCCCCACACTACCACCACCACCACTACCAACTGCCTTCCTTTTTTTTTTCTTCTTCTACTCTCTTTGTGTGGATGTGTGTTGATTTGGCGTCTTTGACAGGGATTTACGACTGCATTGGCACTTTGGGGGGAGCAACGACGGTTTATGTTGCCTGCGTGAAGAGGGAAGCCGCCGCCTTTTCCCTCTTTTATCCCACCGGACTCCAACAGGCAACCACACAAATGTGTTTTCTTCTTTCCCCCTATTTGTGTTATTTCTTTCCTTTTTTTATTTTATTTTCAATCCTATTGGGGACTGTGTCCATGCCCTTTCATTTTATTGCTTTATCTCTTTTTTTTTCTTTTCCTTTTCTAATTTACTCAGTAGTGAAGAGCCTCTCATTTATAGCGAGGTTGTGGTTGTTGGTGGGCGGCGACGGAAGGCTTTTGTTGCTGTTTTTTTTTTTTTTTTTTTTGGAATAGGGCGAAAAGAAGCAAATTTTTTCTTTTGTTTGTACCCCACCCCCCCCCAAAGCAAATTTTTTTTTTTTTAAATATATTAGACGTCAGATATCTCCAGAGGCGACGATTCCAGTTCTGTTCTTTTTTGTGTGTTGTGGCTCGCGTTGCCTGGACGTTTGGCTCGCTCTAATGCCTGGGGAGCCGCTGGGTACATACGGCGGAAATTACCAGGCACCTGCCGCCTTGGACGCCATGCAACACGTGGCGAGCGTGTGCCTCAGTGACGGTGCCCTGTACGAAGGGCCGTTGGTTGATGGCAAACCGGAGGGACGTGGCGTGTGCGTCTTTCCGTCAGGGGTTATTTGCGCCGGGAGGTTTTCGCACGGACATTTAGACGGAAACGCGGAGGTGTTGCTTCCCACCGGTGCACTTTTTTCTGGCAGCTTCAAGAGTTCTGCGGCGCACGGCTCTGGATTGTACGTGCAGGATGGCCGTCTGACGCGTGGCAGGTGGCATGAGGGATTTATGGTGGAGCAGGCGGAGGATAACCTGGGCGGTGGAGCTCGCGCGCAACTTTTCACGCGCATTGCCTTTCTTCTGTGTGATGAGCTGCAGAAACTCACGGCGGTGACTCGAGCGCCGAACTGGCAGCATCTGTATGTCAACAGTCGCATCAGTGAGCCAAAAGTACGTCTCTGCAGGGAGTGTTCCCCGGAAAAGAACACCATGCTATCAAACAGTGAGAAGCCCGAATATTTCATTGTGAATTGCTCCTCCACGAGAATTCCGTCACGCGCAATCATTTCCCGGAGTTTTGTGGACCGAGAAGCATCACTGTCGGATACGGAGGAGTCTCTGACGGCGGCAACGACGCAGCGGCAAACGGCACATGCTGAGATACAGATGCAAGAGAAACCGGCTACAAAAAATGCACTTGCCATGGGGGCCTC